CACAGGCTTCGGGCGCCTACTCGAGAACAGGGGCGGCAGCACAGGCTTCGGGCGCCTACTCGAGAACAAGTGGCAAACACCACCGGATTGAGGATCGGGAGGGGCTCTTCCCAATTTTCCACTGAGGAGAAAGCAGACACTGAAATGGACCCCAGGAAGACTCCCAGAGTCTCCTCCCATCCATGGTCTCTCCTCTTCTTTTTCCGGCATGCTGGCATTGCAGGGGCTTTTAAGAAGTCCAGCAGCTCGATCGACAGGGCAGGAGGACCCCCACAATCCAAGGTAACTTGCCGGATCATTTACCCCGCGACTCAGCTTCTTCGTTGGGTTAAATTCCTCCGCATCTCTTTCGCGAGGTGCCGATCCTCGGAAGGGGTGATCCTTTGCAAGTTTTCCCTCGACCGGAACATTAAGTCTCTGGCAGCTGGGTCCTCCCTCATTTTGGGCTGCCGGAGCCAGTAGATCACCGTGTCCACCAGAGTCATGTAGTCTTCGTTGGTGAGGCGAGGTGCCATTCTGTCACGACTAATAGGCACAGAGTGGGGAAACAGGAGCAGGAGTCGGAGGAAGCTGGGTGAACACGGGGTTTATTCGGGAGCTACACACTTAGGACCACGTATCGACGCTATGACATTAATAACTGGACTAGGGAAACAGACTCTGATACGGACTTATATATACCACACTAATCAACAGGACTTGAAACAGCTGGGAACATGGGAATTCCACACAGTAGAGAGGGGGGCGTGGTACACGGAAGGGTCAGGACGATCGGGGCATGACAACATTATATACAATTAAGGCAGCATTTCCATTCCCTGTGACCTGTGAGAATCACGGAGTAGTTGTGATATCAAGCATGTAGATTTGGGTATGGACGGTAGGGACATGTCCTTACCGATATTGTAGGAGTATCCTGTGTGTTTATGGGGCGGAGGGTGTAGGTATCAGATTCAGACTGAATGATCAGTTGACTTAAGGTGAAACCACCACCTACAAATGACACACAAAATGTACTCATCCCTGTACTCTGGATCACCCTTACATTTTTACTAGTAGCACAGGGTACAGTTCTTAGTGTTTGTGTGATTTAGCTTTCGCCCTTGCAAGGTGCAGTTGTACTCTCTCTAATAGGTACAGCGGTCATCTCTGCAGCATATGACTGCACTTTTCTCCTGTGGCATAAAAGCTTTTCATGTGCTTTTGAACCAGGACCTCGCACATCAGTATTAAAGGGCATCAGGACTGTATTGAAATTTAAACCTCTCTGAGCTGCACAAAACTGTAAAACTGGGTCAAAGTTTGAAAGTCCAGCCATCTGATAAAGGTGGGCATACACAGAACAGAGTCCAACACCTTAGCTTGACCTATGTAGCCTGTGATGGGCCACTCAATAGCTTCCCCACTGAGCCAGGTAAAACTTTTAATATTAATAATTGAAAAAAATGCCCAGTGACTTTATTGTATATAGTTATACTGTATGTAAGTTAGGTTTTGTGAAGGGTTCTTACTTGTATATGTAGTATTGTAATCAGTTGATAAGTAGAAAAAAAATTATTTGCATTGCATATTACATAGGCTATGACGGTGGTCAGCTAATAAAATAGAAATTTAATGTAGCCTTTAAATTGACTGTTGAGAGGTGAACCTTGAGACTGGCTGTTGGACGCTTAATATTTTAAGAATTTTAAGCGTATTAAAATTGTATAACTACAACAAATATCCCTGTAAACTGATATGTCTGTTATGAAAAGCACTGTGATAAAATATTACCCTAAAGTAGCCACTTAAAAGGCTGTTGGATGAATGTTAAGAATATAACTATGACAATTGTTGTAATATTCTTGTATGTATGTATAATGTATATAGAATTATTATTGTGTATGTATAATAACTATTACTAATGGTACTAATAAAATATGAATCTGAAGTGGCTGCAAAGAAAAGGTTAATTTCTTTATGACCAGATATGTCTGCGAGAAATCTGGCGATTATTGGTGGCTGTTTTGGTACATTAAGTCACGTTAAACCTTAACGTAAGATAAAGTCCATATTCGTAGCATTTAGGTTTTGATTTTTTGTCAGGTGAAAGTCTTTAGGGCCAGATATATGTGTGAGAATTTTGGTGATTATTGGTCCCTATTTTGGTACATTAACCCCCATTAAGCTTTTTCACATTACGCGTTTTAGAATGTCCCACAACTCCTCCCACGTGTTAACAGCAAAGCATGCAATCACACCCGACAAAATGTACAATCTGCAATACACACTCTAAGTAAGGAAATGAGCAGTACATTCCGTGTTAAAAGAATCGCCCTCAACAAACCCTGCTACAAACCTCGGCTAAAACTTCATCGGCTCACGTTCATACGCACATGCACATCAAAGGTAATCGTTAAAAGGACGGTTACTCCCCTGGAGCGAGGAAATACCAGCCTCTCCGTCCTCCTCCAGACAAGGGAGAAGTTCAGTGCCATTTCACACCAAGCACACACCAAGCCCCTCCCCCCGCGAATCAACCTAGTCCCTCTTTATATGTCACAACCCCCCCTTTAAAAAGACATCCCTCCACTCCTTCCAGATGCAACTCATCAGTAATCAAATAGCAGATACCCCATAGGCCCCTCACTATATTATTATTCAGGGGATCGAATCACTCACAATTAGAACTTGAAAACAAGCATTTTTAATTATTTTACTTTATTCCCATTTACTTTCCCTCTATTTCACTATTTTCCATTACTGTTACGTGGCATAGCATACATTTAAATGCATTGCATATTAAGTCGTCCTTGACAATTATTTCCGGTGACGGATCAGGGGTGTAATTTTTGTCGGAAAAACATAAGAAAAAACACACGAGGCGTGTATGAGGTGACAGTCACATATGGAGTCNCCTACTCGAGAACAGGGGCGGCAGCACAGGCTTCGGGCGCCTACTCGAGAACAAGTGGCAAACACCACCGGATTGAGGATCGGGAGGGGCTCTTCCCAATTTTCCACTGAGGAGAAAGCAGACACTGAAATGGACCCCAGGAAGACTCCCAGAGTCTCCTCCCATCCATGGTCTCTCCTCTTCTTTTTCCGGCATGCTGGCATTGCAGGGGCTTTTAAGAAGTCCAGCAGCTCGATCGACAGGGCAGGAGGACCCCCACAATCCAAGGTAACTTGCCGGATCATTTACCCCGCGACTCAGCTTCTTCGTTGGGTTAAATTCCTCCGCATCTCTTTCGCGAGGTGCCGATCCTCGGAAGGGGTGATCCTTTGCAAGTTTTCCCTCGACCGGAACATTAAGTCTCTGGCAGCTGGGTCCTCCCTCATTTTGGGCTGCCGGAGCCAGATAAATCTTTGTAAAAAATATTTTTATGAAGATGTTTGGTTTCGCATTTACAAAAAATATTGACTTGTATTTGCAAAATATTTTTTTTTGCGAATGAAAATTGTGTTCAGTGCGAGCAAATTTCTTTTTACGGATACAAATTGGAAAGTACACATACAAGTACATATGGCACTATTCTGACTCCATAGTCACATGACAATATAGCTATATCAAGGCAGTGCTTCCCGAATGTTTATCTTACCAGTTTAACTTACCTACGGGTACGAAGATCTGTGTCTAGCGCGCTTGGTAGGTAAGTGACATCCCTGATTTTTACAAATGAAACAATTCCAGTTATAAAATGCATATACATGTTTAACTTTGTAGAAGGTTCCAAAAAAGTAGTTGTACTTCAGAGGTTAATAGGTTTACTTTCGCTTTCTACACTCGCAGCCACAATGCTTTGATTGACGCTATATTGTAGGAATTACTTTTCAGATAAATATACGGGATACCATTCGCTTGAATGTTTGTTGTGATAAATGAGTACGATTCGTTTCCTTGTAAATTATGCGTTGATTTGCTTTTTATTATTATGTGCTGTACGTCCTGCGCACTTCATCATGCGGAGGACTAACAAAATACCAGTCTTTACTTTCGTTTAATCCTTCAATGTGGAATCAGTCTTTTAAACTTGATCTCATTCTATAATCAAAAAATACTTTATTCAATAAGCTTTTCATTTATAATCATTTCATCACCACAGGAAACATTGCACATTATACAATAGCCCAGTTTCGCTACCGTTTTTCTTCCTCGTCTATGACATGGCGTCGGATATTAATTGCATCTTTTGACTTGTGTTTTTTATGAACAGTGGAGACACACATATAGATAGAATGCGTGCTATGTTTTGTCATTCAATCACAGTGATCACTAAAGTGCTATTTTATCTCACCAAACAAAGAATCAGTTGCAAGAAAGTATGAAATGATTTTCAAACAAATTTCCCTCACATTGGTGCAGCAGCGTATTTCTACGGAGCCCCTAAGGGGACAAAGGAGGAGAAAAAAAAATGGCAGAAATAATAAAAAAAAAAAAAGTCATTTTTTGCGTTTTAACCCAAAACTTTTGCATTATAACCCAAAACCTTTGCGATATAACCCAAAACCTTTGCATTATAACCCAAAAAATTTTGCGATATAACCCAAAACCTTTGCGTTATAACCCAAAACTTTTGCGTTATAACCCAAAATCTTTGCGTTATAACCCAAAACTTTTGCGACATAAGGCAAAACTGTTGTGACTTTGAACTGGAAATATGAGTAATCAGTCAGTGTAAGGAACATAATTGATAGGAAAACATGGAGCGTTTAATCGAATTTTACTTTGATCTTGGTCTACAATATATGGACATTCAGTTTGTTCTCGGATCTATGCATGATGTTCACATAAGTCTGAGGCAGATTAATAGGATTTTATGTGAAAGGGGATTATTCCAACGGAAAAACTACTCCGACTTGGATGATGTAATTAACTTTAATTTGTGAGCAAATTTTGCACTCTGGGCAGCTTCATGGTTATCGATGGATGTATGCAAAATGCAGAATAAATGGACTTCATGTGAGAAAAGAGTGTGCATTTGATTTATATTAATTCATTATAAACATGAAACAACAACAAAAAACGAACAATTCTTTAGGCTTAAATCAACCTCAACAGATTAGCATTAATTAGCAATATTACTGAAACGTACTTTACCAAGGCTTGCTTTACAAATTACTAATTATGAATTAAACAATCAAATCTTACCACACTGAACTCTAAAAAATTTTTTTAACCGTTAAATTAGATTAATAAGCGAAGCGGGGATCAACCACATTATGCAAACAGCGGCTTTGGAAGTTGCACTTGAATGACCAAAAGTACACTAGTCACCTGATTTTATTGTTGCATTACTACGGAAAAGTTTTGGGTTATATCGCAAAAGTTTTGGGTTATAACGCAAAAGTTTTGGGTTATAACGCAAAAGTTTTGGGTTATAACGCAAAGATTTTGGGTTATAACGCAAAGGTTTTGGGTTATATCGCAAAAGTTTTGGGTTATATCGCAAAAGTTTTATGTTATAACGCAAAACATGACGTTTTTTTTTTTTTCTTCTGCCGTTTTTTTTTCTGCGTTCTTGTCACCTTGGGGGCTCCGTAGATAGGCTACGTAATGTATCTATAATACATTTTAATCTGTTGTATTTGTATAAATTGAATTTGCCCGTGGTTAGATGTTAACTGCATTTAAATGGCTCTGTACTTGTACGCTGTACCATCTGTACTCTGTACTTGTACTCAGCACTGATGTCAAAATGGGGTCACAGGCCAAAAAAGGTTGGGAACCACTGATGTATAGTCGGTCTTCCTACAACGCGTGATATCACACCGCGAATCTCAGTTGGAGAAAAATCAAAGCACTATGTTTTATTTATTTAATTAATACAGGACACCATTTACTCATGCCACACGCTAGCAGACACACTTGTCGTATAGATTATTATATTGAATCCAACTTCACCGAACCAGATGCGTGACTATTAATAATCCCGACTACGTATTTGCGCTGGATATCACCCTTATAGCCGAACAAAACTACTAAAAGCGGCCCTGGGGACCAAAGTGTTTGTCCGTTATAAGCGAAATTCCGCTATATGTGAGTCCGCTATATCCGATGCTTTTTCTGCACGTTCTCAAAGGCGCACGGCCGGGACCAGCGGACCTCGTCCGTTATAAACGATATTCCGTTATAAGCGAGTCCACTATAACGGGATTTTACTGTAGTGATTATCTTAAAAATATTTATGCTGTCATACATGAAGATATACGGTACCAGAAATGATTTTTTTTTTGAGGGTCTTTTCTGTAAAGATATCTGAAGCAACCTGCTGTTTTAAAAATACTTTGTTTTCTTTCACTTCCCTCCCAGAACATCTGGCTTACATTTTAACACAACACAATTATCCCAGAAAAGGTGTTGCTGTCAGAATGTGGAAAATCCTGTTTATTGTTGCACTGTGTGGAGCAGCAGCGGCCCTGGTCAATCAAGACCTGGATCAGGAATGGGAGACGTGGAAGAGCAAGTTTAACAAGTCCTACCCCAACAAGGTGAAGTCTCACAAATTTGACTAAACATGTGTAGGTACACCTGACATGGGCTTTTAATCAGTAACCACTTCAAAGTAATAAGCTGAGTGTGCCGATTGAGCTTTATTAGGGAACAATATGCCAATAGGAATATTTGGGATTTTTCTGTTGAGCCTAAATTATGCTCCATGTGGGGGCAGAATGAAGAGCTGAAACGGAGAGAGATTTGGGAGAAGAACCTGGAAATGATCACCCAGCACAACCTGGAGTTCTCCAAGGGGATGCACACCTATGACCTAGCTATGAACGACCGTGGGGACTTGGTGAGTCGTCGGCTTGTTGTCAGGTTGTAACCATTGGCAGATTATCCTTAAAGTTCAGGGCTGCATGTTGAATTATCCACTTCATTATGTGTTATTTTTATGAAATTTCACAGTAGATACATCTGTCTAATGTGATACATGTGATATATTTGTGTTAGATACCCGGCTTTAATACTGTGTTCAACAGAATTAAATAAGGGCCTCAAATAATGATGGTACATGTTGTTGGGGGGGGGGGGGGTGTATGCATGTTTGTGTGCTGCCAGAGAGCATTGAGGAAGATTTTGTCACCTCTGTTTTAGACCACAGAAGAGATGTCAGGTTGCCTGCTCCCCTTTCGAAAAAGACGTTCGGTCTGAGCTCTGGCAAGCCTGCAATGTTCCACCCAGCGTCCTAAGGCAAAGGTTCACTGGGGCCGACAAAGGTGGACCCAAATCACCAGATCACCACATTAAAGGGACCTCACCCCCACTGGGTGGCCAGAACCTCACAGCCAAATTCCAGCGACAAGGCCTGACTGCCTCAAGACACAGATGCATCCTACACTCGCAAACTCACACTAACACAGGAGGTACAGTATCACCCCAGATCTACATTAGGGATAACAAGACAATCCAAAGGAACGACACACGAAAGGGAACAACCAAAGAACTGGTTTCTTCCTGCTAGAGGGAGCTTTTCCTTCAGGCTTGGTGGGGGTTCAGGCCGGTTATATGTAAAGTGCTTTGTGACAATGACTGTTGTTAAAAGTGCTATATAAATAAAATTGAATTGAATTGAATCACAAACCAAACTCTGGTGAAACATGTTACTATTCCATCTGTAACTGTAAACCAAAAACTGCAGGTTACTATATTATTCCAACACCCTGAAGCCTTATGCCTGAAATTGATGCCATTGTAAAATGAATACAGTTACAATTACAAAAGTCTTCATAAAAGGTTCTTGTGCATATCAATGGCATATCAACACTTTCGGGTGGGTTCTTGTTTCTGTGGTTTTGTTACAATACTGCAGTACTTTGTTACAATATGTGAGCTTATTATTACCCTAATGTATTGAGTGTGTAGTTTTAACATTGCTGCAGCTAAGTAAAACTAAAATGAACAAATGTTGCCTGAAAAGAGACATTTTCTAGCAGATCTGTGTGCATTAATACACATGTGCAGTAAGACATTTTAATTGTGGAACAGTAAAAACAGAATTTGTTTGAAACTTCTTTTGTATATTGGTTTCAAATGCAATGTTACTAACACTAAGTAAATTAAAAATAAACCCATCAAACTGATTTCCTGATCATTCATTTCAGTCTTTTCCTGATTTTTTTTTCCAAGGCAACTTACATTAGAGAGAGGAGTTATATGTACGTACAACCCAGGGCGGATTAATGAACAGGCCTTTAGGCTGCAGCCCAGGGCCCCAGAGTGATCAGGGGGCTCGTACTGGCTGCCTCATTTTTTTAATCATTATTATTTTTTAAAGTGATCATTTATTGGTTGATTATTTGTTTGCAAGTTGGTGCTGAATGGGGAGACCAATTTTTAAATGTGTCTTTTTGGCTGCTCCTTTTATACCATCGTGTATTTTCTGGCATGCATATTCATAGTGTGTTTTCTGTGTGAAATGTGAAAGTGTAAACTTGCCGGTGTGTTGTTTTTCTGATGTCATTGCTCTTGTTTGATACAGCGTCACATCTCTATGAGTTTGTAGAAATTATTTTATAGTTATTAATGCCTTTATAGTTCATTGTTGTATTGTTTTGGGGAGTGGGGGCAGAAGAGGGGGCTAAGGAGAGAGCAGCCTAGGGGCCCCTGAACTCGCTAATCCGCCGCCGCTGCCTACAAGTTTTGCATTGTCAGCACAAAGCTCTACTGGTTGAGCCACAAGAACTCAATGGACCCATTTTCTATCCAACCTATCAAGTCCAGGGTCACGATGAGTCGGCAGACTATGCCAGGCAGCACTGGATATGAGGCAGGGGACACCCAGCATGGCATGGCAGTCCATTCCACGGCACACAATGTGAGACAACAATAAAACACAACTGCTTGCACTGTAGAAGAAAAGAGATAAGGGGTGAATGAAAACCCACAGACCAGCAGGTGTGAGACCACATTTCTCACCCAGGCCATAATGCTAATGTAATCCAATGTACATATCCTTTCATTACAATGCATTTTTAGCTTTGAAATACCCCATTTTAGGTCATTTTATGTATAAAATGAAATATACAATGTCAATAAATGGGTACAGCCCTGGTACAATTTTGTTCCCCAAGGTGCAAACAACATTAATGTTCCCCCAATGGTACAAAAATGTTCCTCATAGTCTATTTCTGTACCTTTAAAAGGTACATTCACCTACAACTAGGGTACAACTGGCAGACGCTTGAGGATACAACCCCAATGATATGTAATTGTACCCTCAAAGGTATAAATTAGTACTTTTTTCTTGATCAAAACTGAAATTCAGCAACACTAATTCAATAAGGATTTCGCTATTTAGGCATACCTGCATTATATACAGTCAGAATCGCGGAGTAGTTGTGATATCAAGTGTGTAGATTTGGGTATGGACGGTAGGGACATGTCCTTACCGATATTGTAGGAGTATTCTCTGTGTTCGGCGCCTTGTGATTTACGATGTATGTATAATGATTAGCTGACATAGAACGAAACGGGGTTTTTCCTTAATTGTGTTTACATGCTTCTAGAAAGAACCAGTTCTTGGTTACTTGCTCACGGGTTGCAAGACATTTCCGGGTTGAAAAATTCCTGTTCTTTAGAAACTTTACAGAAAGACAGTATACCAAGCAGTTTAACTCATAAACCAAGCAATTCACATTATCAAAACTGCGGTACCAAATTTATTATTCAGGGGATTGAATCACTAACAATTAGAACTTGAATACAAGCTATTTTTAATTATTTTACTTCATTCTCATTTACTTTCCCTCTATTTTACTATTTTGCACTAATGTTACGTAGCATAGCATATATGTAAGTGCATTGCATATTAAGTCGTCCTTGACTTTTGTTTTCTTATTTCAAGTTTTGTTGTATGGGGATTTTATATTCTCATTCAGTTCGTTAGGCGGTAATTTTTTGTTAGTAAAAGGAAGAAAAAACACATCAAGGTGACAGTCACATGACAATATAGCTATATGAAGGCAGTGCTTCCCGAAAGTTTATCTTACCAGTTTAACTTACCTACAGGTACGAAGATCTGTGTCTAGCGCGCTTGGTAGGTAAGTGACATCCCTGATTTTTACAAATGAAACAATTCCAGTTATAAAATGCATATACATATTTAACTTTGTAAAAGGTTTCTTAAAAGTAGTTGTACTTCAGAGGTTAATACTGTAGGTTTACTTTCACTTTTTACACTCGCAGCCACAATGCTTTGATTGACGCTGTATTGTAGGAATTACTTTTCAGATAAATATACGGGATACCATTCGCTTGAATGGTTGTTGGGATAAATGCTGTACGATTCGTTTCCTTGTGAATTATGCGTTGATTTGCTTTTTATTATTGTGTTCTGTCCTGCGCACTTCATTATGTGGTGGACTAATAAAATAGCAATCTTTACTTTCGTTTAATCCTTCAATACGATCTTATTATATAGTAAAAGAATACTTTGTTCAATAAGCTTTTCATTTATAATCTTTTTTGTTACCACATTGCACATTATACAGCAGCCTAGTTTCGCTACCGTTTTTCTTCTTCGTGTTTTTTTATGAACAGGCTCCATAAGACACACATAGGCTATAGATAGAATGTGTGCCGTATTTTGTCATTCAAACACACTGACTGCTAAAGTGACATTTAATCTCATCAAACAAATAATCAGTTGCAAGGAGGTATGACATGGTTCTCAGTAGGCCTAATTTAAAATTTGCCAAGTGTCTCGTTATAACGAGATTTGATAATACATCTATAGGCTAATACATTTTAATATAACTGTTTGTACATCCACGCATAGCACAGGACAAAGTTTTAGATTCTAAAAATCAAAAACTATTTCATTATCATGTAAAAACACACAGGAACCTTTAATTCACTTACATATTTGCTTTTCGTAGACTGTCTGTAGTCATATTGCATTCCGTGCCCCTCCGCATATCGTAATACGTTGTATTTGTGACAGACCCATAGCCATTATTTGCTACTAGTATCGCTGCTTTTAATTATTTAATTAATTTCAGTTGTCATTAGTTACAAAGTTATGGAGTCACATTCCCTTAACCTTAATTTCCCCATTAGATATAGGCTATGTATTTTAGTAGGCGATTTTAGTGAAGGCGAGGTTTTTCAGAACGCTGTATTCGCATAGTAACAGGACTGAGTGTACCACCTATAGCCTTCATGATACGGTTTTCTTGTTATAATGAAATAGGTGTCCACTTACAATGAGATACACTGCGTGTCAGGATAACATTCTCACATATGAATCCATCAGTTAAATACCCCTGATATAGTCAAACTCCAAAGACTACTTTTGATTGTTGAAAACCCATATAGTAATTCGCTCAAAAATATATAAATGCTCTCATGTACGGTACCAGAAAGGATTTATTGAGGGTCTTCTCTGTAAAGATATCTGATGGAACCTGCTGTTTTAAAAATACCTTTTTCTTTCACTTCCCTCCCAGAACATCTGGCTTACATTTTAACACAACACAACTTTCCCAGAAAAGGTGTTGCTGTCAGAATGTGGAAAATCCTGTTTATCGCCGCACTCTCTGGAGGAGCAGCAGCCCTGGTCAGTCAAGACCTGGATCAGCACTGGGAGATGTGGAAGAGCACGCATAACAAATCCTACCAGCAGAAGGTGAAGTCTCACAAATTTGACTATAAACATGTGTAGGTACACCTGACACGGGCTTTTAATCAGTAACTACTTCAAAGGTTTGATTAAGCTGACTGTGCAGAATGAATTGTACCTTTATTAGGGACCAATATGCCAGTAGGAATATTTGGGATTTTTCTGTTGAGCCTAAATTATGATGATGAATTGTGTAGGAAGAATTATATGTGTGGGAGTTTTGGGATTTTTCTGTTGAGCCTAAATTATGCTCCATGTGGGGGCAGAATGAAGAGCTGATACGGAGGCAAACTTGGGAGAAGAACCTCCAGCTGATCACCCTACACAACCTGGAGTTCTCCATGGGGATGCACACCTATGACCTAGCGATGAACCACCTGGGGGACTTGGTGAGTCGTCGGCTTGTTGTCAGGTTGTAACCATTGCCAGGTTATCCTTAAAGTACAGGGCTGCATGTTAAATTATCCACATGATAATCTGTTATTTTTATGAAGTTTCACAAGAAATCTGTCTATTGTGATATGTGTGATATATTTGTGTTAGATATCTGGCTTTAATACTGTGTTCAACAGAGGGGGGGCGCATGCCAGAGAGCATTGAGGAAGATTTTGTCACCTCTATTTTAGACCACAGAAGACATTTTATCTTCCCTGGCTGGTACCCGCTTTCCTTATGGTCTTCAAAGAGGGCGTTCTACATTTATGGGATCTTCTGCAGCCGTCTTGCCAGATTCCATTGACTGGAGGCAGCAAGGTTACGTCACTGATGTCAAGAATCAAGTAAGAAAATGAACAGCAACTCCCACACTTTAAACCATATACTCAGCAGAGGTGGAAATTTAAGGTCCAGAGAGCAGACAACCAGACCAAGATTTTGTTTCAACCAACCTTTTGAGTATAAAGAATCACAGTCACATGGTTGGTTGAAATAAAATAGTTTAGGAAATGCTGATTTAGATCATATGATTGTCTCCTAAAGTTAATGACAGTCATCATCTTTTAACCTCAGATTACACTGATTTCACAAATACACACCACAAAAACTGCTTGTGTTCCAGAGTTTTTGCTTAGTCATGATTCAGTGTCAGCTGATTATTCTAAGCTTTCTCAATATTACTTTAAACTAGGGTTACCATATTTGGCGAGAAGAAAAAGAGGATGTGTCCGGGGATCAGAATATTAATGAGTTTCCGCGTTCACTAACCAACCAGGCAGCATTCCTCTCATGAATATTAATGTACTGGCAAACCTGGACGTATAGAAAACCCGGACGTATAGTGATCTTACAGTTCAGTGATGTTTGTTGCTTGTATGGCGCTGTATTGCTGCCTTTGCCTTCACTTGGTACTCCACTGTGCAACACTGGGTCATATGGGTTTCAGCGTTAAACCCGGACCAACCGCCCATGTTTGAAGAACTACTCGCTGGCCTGAACAGAGGCCCAAAAAGGGGACGTGTCTGAGGAAACCAAGACGTATGCTGACCCTACTTTAAACCGTGATCTGTGTAGTAAGGTATCGTCTTTTCCAGGGCGCTTGTGGATCCTGCTGGGCATTTAGCGCAGTGGGGGCCCTTGAGGGCCAGCTGATGAAAACTCAAGGGAAGCTGGTGTCCCTGAGCGCTCAGAACCTGGTGGATTGCTCATCCAAGTATGGCAACAAAGGATGCAATGGTGGTTTAATGAGTAGAGCCTTCCAGTATGTCATTGACAACCAAGGCATAGACTCTGATGCCTCCTACCCTTATACTGGCCATGTGAGTTTGTTACATCTAAAGTGCTTGAATTGTTACAAGTGTTCTGTTTGCGCCACCAAAAATGGCAGTCTGTCTGTATGAGGGCTGCTGTGATCACTTTCTGTGACCCGTTTTAGGATGATCAGTGTAAATACAACCCAGCCAACCGGACTGCCAACTGCACATCATACAGTTTTGTGGCTAGGGGCAATGAAGATGCCCTGAAGGAAGCTGTGGCCACCATTGGACCCATCTCTGTGGCCATCGATGCCACCCGGCCAACGTTTATCTTTTACCGGAGTGGTATGTGGATTCTTGGGATATGATTGCTGACTGTTTGGAATATTTTGGGCTGGGAATTTATAAAAAAAAAAAAATAACGACAAGAAAAAAACTAATCTACTAAAAAATTGTAATATTTTTATCCTATGCATACTTCCTTCTGGTGATTAATTTTTTTTTTCTTATTCTTAAAATAAACTTGGCATCAGCTTCCCCGTGAGACACCAACCGAATTGCTGTGTTCAAATTCAGGTGCTGCATAATCAAGGCCGCATTCGAAGACCGAATGCGTCACAGCGATGCAACAAGGCCGACGGTTCTTTCAAATGCGGTCTAGGAATGCGTCCTTCTTTTGCTGAGTGAAGGATCCACTTGTTGGATCCTTTGCTGCCCAACATATCCCAAGATTCTCTGCGCAGACCATTGAAGGACACAGACTCCAAAAGCTACAAAGTCCGCGTCCTTTGAGGGATGCAGCCCCTGAATTTGGACACAGCCCGAATTTTGATTTTAGCTCTGAATTCTAGAATCATTTGCAACATCAGGGCCTAAACTCTCACGTTGTTTACAACCAGGAAAGAATATTATAGGTCTCTATTCAAATCAATGCTCATGCTATTCTTCTATTTGGGTAGCAAAATACTGCATGCATTAACGAGATCAATGAAATAGCAACACGTTATGATTTTAAAAACAGCATTATGACTTTAAAAACGCATGAACTCTCTAATTTTTCCACCCCTAGTAATCTTGTGTATGGTTTCATTCAAATGCTCAGTTTTGGCTGATGGTTTTAGTCTCCGTGAATGGTGCATTTGTTCATAAAATAAATAGACTGAGCATATACTTTTTGAAATTCCGCCATTTTAAAAATGGCCTCTAACCTCCACCTCTAATTGCTTTTGCGTGGTGCTGTATTACTTTTTCCAGGTGTGTACAATGATCCCTCCTGCAGTCAGGCTGTAAACCATGGTGTACTCTTAGTAGGCTACGGAACATCGAATGGTGATGACTTTTGGCTAGTGAAGAACAGGTAAAGCAATTTACATTCATATTATGAAAAGAAGCACAATCAAATTTAGGTTGCATGGCTTGATAAATGTATTCTATATCCTTATTAGGAATACAGTTTATGTAACGTTATGCCAGTTTTGACTAGAAAGTTCTATGTAAATATATGCTTAAAATTTTGTTTTAAATAAGTATGTAGTATTGCATACAAATGCATATTTATTCAAATTATTTTAGTTTTCGTTTTGTGGAATATATTGATAAAATAGTCCATTTGGATATAAATGAAACATTTATTATCCATTATCATTAGTATTTTTATATATTACTTAATATGAAGCATTTAGAGATTGCAACACATTTAATATAGTCATATTTTAGTTAAGATCAAGTCCTCCAGCTGTTTGTTTTTTTCTGAAAAATTCATGTTTGTCTGAAGGAGCAAAAACATTATTAAAATGACACAGTAATGACATAATCTAGCGAGATTCATCGCACAGTAATTGTTAAATGAGATGGTTTAGAAATAATTCAGTTAGTGCTGAATTCTGCATTGATTACTGAGCCATAAGCCATACATGCACTTATATACTTGCTTGCCGTTTCTTTTTTAGTTGGGGACAAGGTTTTGGTGACCAGGGATATATTCGAATGTCACGGAACAAGAACAACCAATGTGGCATCTCTCTCTATGCCTGCTACCCCACTATGTAGGGCCTGAAAGCTGAAAGAAACACAAATGACCAAATTCAACACCCGGGAAATGTTTTCAAGTCTATTATCAGACTAGTACTGTAAGGCTGTATGCTAACATTCTTTAAATAATCATTTCTGTGGTTGTGGGATTTCAAAATATTTACACAAATGGTGATTTTTGCATGATTATTTTGCGTTTTGTACAATCCAACAAAATCTTTTAGAAAAAATGTCATATATTACTATGCATTTCCAATAATTTAATGATAACTGTGACAAGGGGAGGGCATGGAAGTTGGAAGGATCAGCCCCTTTATTCACCTGTAATATATTTATTTTTATTTTTTATTTTATGCGGCAAGTGTACTGTGTGGGAGTGTCATGTAAGAGTCAGGCTCTTATTGCTGTGCAATTTGTTCATTTAAGCCAAGCAGGGATTTCTAAGTATTTCAGATCTCTGTGCCAAAAAAAATCACTCTGCTCCATCCTTCAGTTCCTATCCAGAAGAACCAGGTTTTACAATAATTTTTAGCAGAGATATAGTGGTCTATTGTATTTTGCAGGAACAGGTTTGTTTAAGGAACATCACCGACGTGGGAATCTCCATCCTCTAATTTCGTTTCCCTTTTTTCTTGTTTTGCTGCTTTGGGTTATCAGCAGATCTCATTTGTTATTTTGAACCTGAATTCTGAAAACAGTGAATTTTCAACTCCATTTTTATTTGAATGTCAAAATAACCCAGATTTTTTTTTTACCGTTTATTAAGGTAGCTAGTGAACTTTTATTTTAAAATTCTAGCATTATAATGTACCTTACTTTCTCTTGTAATTGCTAAGAACTACAGTGAATTATATTATAATCAACATTTGTTTTGAGTGTTTCGTATGTTAACTCTTACCAGATACATGAAATTTGTGTGTAGCATTTGAAAACCATACACAAGACAAAGAAATATATATATATATATATATATACAAAGTTCCTAAAATTCTGTGTAATTATTATGCATACAAACATGTCCAGCAAATGTCAGCTGCTACTTCTATCAGCTAATGCTCAAAAAGCATCTGTAACACTTTAGAGATTTACTGAGTGGATTCTTTCTGCTTCCATGACCTTGTGGTCACTCAAGCAATCTACCTTTCTGTCTAAAGTTAGCTAACTGACATTATTATAAGATCATAACACAGCCTCAGTCTGTGCTAGCACATTGATTACATAGCTACACAAGAAGACGTGCATGATATATTTTGACGGTTAATACAGCATTTGTCTGTGGGAAAACAACACAGAAACAATTCAGTTACCTTCTTATACTTGCAGTAGCACATTTACTTTGCTAGCAATTGTAAACAGCTGAAGATAGCTAGCGTTATTTACGATTGCTTAGATGTGAGTCGTGAATGTCACAACATGACAACTTGTTGATAACGTGTAGAGTTATCGGTAGAAGACAGGAACAAGTAAAAGGGTGAATTTCAATATGCATACTTGATCGTATTTATGTTCTTGTATACCCACTATATGTTATCTTCCGTTGCCAAAGACCAGTTCCATTACTGGAGTACTGGACATGTCAAATGGTTTGTAGGTGTGTTGACAGGAATAAAGCGGGCCGGAGTGGGTGGAGCTGCTCATGTTCTTATGGTGGAAAGTGTAATCAAGCTTGGGACATTTCTTCCGCTACATAAATATGAAACATGCATTTAATTATAGATATTTATTAAAGTCATTGCTAGACCAATATGTCTGGTGAATGTCTGGTCCCTTTCTGAAATAACGTTTGTTGACAGAATTTTCAGCCAATAGAAATAAACTTCTGGCATGCCTGCTCTATTGCATGCGTCTCCTTTTCACAGATCCTCCTTTCGATGCTTCCACTAATCTCTCCTGAAGAGACTCATGTCTCGATCGGAATGGTGAGGGGGGAGGGGATTAAGAGATGCAATCTGACGGACGAAGCTCGCTAATTGGTTAGATTACCCTGACTGCAAGTTTAACGACATGTTGTTCACACTCAATATAGGCACATTAAACAGGTGATTTTACCGGGGGTGGTTGTGACATTGTGAGATTGGATTTCTGTTGCTCATTTACATGTCACATCAATGATATCATGTCTCTGTGTGGGACAATTAACCTTGTCAGAGTGTATAAGATGGGGATGGGGCGGGGCTGGGCTCACCTCAGGTCGGCCCACTGGAAGCCCAAGATAGGGGGAGTGGAGCAATCCATCAAGTAGTGCACCTCTAACTTCGTACAGTACCAGTACAATTAGTAAAATCAGTTTTAAATTTTATGATTATTTATTTGCATTGTTCCAAATGCCTTAATAAAAATTACTGTTTGGATCAGGTGTATGTTGCACTCTCAAGGAAACTGCCTTCTGCCTTCAGACATCCGTAAACTCCATGATGTTTGTACTGCTGGTGGAAACTGTGTCCTGTTATACTGACAGGACCAGCTTGATGAGGTCCATATCGAGGCATGCTTTCAGTCCTAATTATTATTAGCATAACCAGGAGGGCTGGAAAGCCAGTCAACCTTGAACCCCAGAGGTTTTTTTCTCCTTATTTAGGAGTTTTTGGTTCCTCTTCTTCATTTCCCTCTCTTTCTTTTTTCCTTTCTTTCTGTTTTTCTTTCATATAACAATGAATGCTACTCACCTTTCATTCTGTTCCTTAGACAATAAAACCTGAAACTTCAATAAAAGTAGCTTCAGCAAAGTGTTCTCCACTTCCATCTCTGACGCCAAGACCACCTACTACCAGGAAAAGATCACCACCACCACAAATACACAAATACACACAAGTTATTATCCACTTTCAATGACCTCATAAGCCCTCCTCCCCCTGCACCCACCACCCTGACTGCCGGTGATTTTATCACTCACCTCCGTGAGAAAGTGGCAGCCAGCAACACCTGGTTCTCCACACCCACCACCTGCATGACTCACTCCATCATGGTCCTTCTTGTCCCACATTCACCCCCCCCCCCACCCAAATGTTTCTAACCTGCTCAACCACCAGCCAACCTGTACCCTGGATCCCATCCCCTCCCATCTTCTCCAGGCCATGTGTACTAGAGTAACCCCAGCACTTACCCACCTATTTCATTCATTCTTTGCAAATGGCGGATTCCCTGCATTTAAGCAAGCTAAGGTAACACTATCACATTGACAAAACCCTCACTTGATCCTTCACAGATTGAGAATGATCAGCCAGTCTCTCTCCTCTCATTCTTGTCCAAAACTCTTCAATGTCCTCAGTTAAGTCTCCAAATTTCTCATAAAGAACATCCTCATGGCGTTGGAGCACTTGCCAGATGTGATCCACATGTTGGTCAGGGGAAGCAGAGTAGATGAGGATGTCATCATCGATGCAGCATGTTGGCCAAGACTTTATTCATAAATGTCTGGGAGATGGATGGGCTGTTGGTCAAGCCATCTGGCATTACACGGTACTCATACTGACCAGGATGAAGGCCGTCTTCCACAGGCCATGGGTGTCCCAGGATGATGCCATCACAGATGGATGGGAGGTGTGAATGGCATGCCCCGGTTCCCTGCAGTAAAGGCAGAGCTGGAGCTGGAATCATCGTTGATGTTCAGCAGGAGAGAGCAGGACTCTGCTGATATCCACAGGCTCAGGCTCAGATGGAGAGAGTGACTGGTCAGCGGGGGACGCAGTGAGATGAAGAGCTGTACATACTCGTCAAATGTCCGGGCTTCACCACGGCAGGCCGGCTCTGCTTGGAGGTTTGGGTCAGTGCCCGCCGGACTCGCAGGCAGGAGGGAAGCCAGCCTAAGGGCATCCTGGCGCTAGCACTGTGTGTCCGCTGGGCCCATGGTGTCTGCTGAAGTATTCTGTTATGAACAGAATGACCGGGGACCCAAGTGCGGAACACATGGAGTTTATTGGGGACCAGGCAGACAGAGAGAATCAGCAATCAGGGTCTTAGCCAGAGTCACAAAGCGGGAGGTTTGGAGGCCCGGGAGGTGGGGAGTGGGGTCAGCCCTACATGGGGAGCTGAAAACGGGGGCAGGCAGACAGGTGTAGTGGGATCAGGACAGGACCAGAACCAGGCAGACAGGATGGATCAGGACTAAGAGACACAGTTAGTACACTCATACCCAGTTTAAATGGATTTTATCTTCGTTCACTTACATTTAGCCCAGATTACCTTAAATCCAATAAGTTATACAGATAAGCAAGAGATCCAACTTTCTGAAACAGTTCCCAGTTTTTGCCCGGTTAATTGTTAGCAATATCAGTTGATAACAACACATTATGTGGTATTTTGTGCATAAAAACATTGTGATTAGACAGTACTGTGTGTACGACCAATTTAATAAGCTACAAATGAAATGAAAGTGATAATAAACAGTATAAAACTACAGCTTGAACTTCTGTTGATCAAGGGAGCGGCTGTCTTGAATTGTGAGGTCAGGGTTGTGTCGATTCCTCCGAGTTCATGAGTCAGAGTTCTGACTTCAGGGGGCATTCTAGTTGAAATTTTCAACTAGGAACTTGGAATTTCTGATTCGCAAATGCAAATGGGATGCAGAATAATGGTGCGAGGCAGGTGGTTCCACTCCTGTGCCGATGAGCTGGAGTTCTCACAAGGGGAGGGTGTGAAAAACACATTGGGAGAAGCCGAATCGTGGTGCAAGGGGCAAAGAAGGTCAATACAAGGGATCAGTCCACACAAAGCACCAAAGCCAAGAATGTAATCCGTGAGGGTCGTCTGAGAAATATTCAGTCACCTATAAAAGCATGAGACTCTTGCTCATTGGAGAGACCAGTGGTTACATGTAAAAGTCAGTGTTGTTAATGTTTAAAGTACTGGGGAACAAACATCTCCAACCCTCATTCCTTCCATCCAAACACCCATCCATTCGGAATGAATATTAATATTATATTAGCCAGTCTACAGTTAGTATTAAAACTATATTATATGATATTAATATTATATCAGCCAATGTTTACAGTTAGACAAATGTTAGGATTAATTACAGTATTCCTACCATTTTGAATGATGTTTTTTATATTTCATTCTGACATATTGTTCTTTTGGTCCCAGCTGGATTACAGCTACAGTAACAGGGCTCTCAAGTTTCAACAAAAGTGTGGAGTGAGTTTACATCTCTTAGGGGTGCAGCATGTGATAACGACATCCGTGTGATAACGTGCTTGCAGCGGGATCACATATAACTTACTTTGGAATTTACCGGGAAACAACAAATGCTAATTTCTGATTGGCTGGTAGGTGGCTATTATAACTGTAACTCGGGACACTTATGCGCTCCACTCCATATGCCTGCGAATCGTCCAATAATTCTATATAACGGAACACCAAGGATCGGGCGTTATCCTTTACTTCACAGCGTGAGAAACACAAGGTGTGGCGTGTGAACTGGTTGAAATTCGTGTTTCACGGTCAATGCGTGAGACTTAAAAGCCCAGGTAAACATTCTATATTAAGTCCATTCATTTTACAATGATTATATATCATAGGCTCACGTTTCAGCCGACCGTTTCATTTGCGGAAGTAACTCATATCCTAATAGATCTCCCCACCCCCCACCCCCACATTGAAAATCATCACCTAATAGATCTGTCTCCCCAACACTGAAAACACAGCGACTCCGTTCTTGTAGGCCTATGTTAAAATTCTACTTTGAAGCATTGTAGCCTACATTTGTATTTGATGTACTGCATATTATGCAAGCTATTTATTTTCAGTTTGTTTTCCTCATTAGTGCAGATTTTTGAGGGAGAAGGGTGAATGATGATGTTTCTAATTTTTAAGTTTAATCTATTAATACCCATTCAAACAAAGAATTAAAAAGCATAAAACTCTTAGTGGCCGAAATGCTTTGTATTGTAAAATATAACTTGATTCGGAATCGCCGCCACGACGTTAAACTCTATAGAAAAGGACGGAAGCTGAAGGTGAGAGGACAGAGCTGGTGGGCACCGGCGCGGGAATGACGGTGTTCTGACATAACAATGGCCAGGACATCAGTTCTTATATAGATATATATTAATCCGTGTTACGGGACAAATTACCTTATCCAGTTTGGCAAAGCATATATGATATAGCATGGTAGCATTGCAGTCGTTCAGAAAATACAAATAAGGACACAAAAGTGAAATACGGGTCATGTAAAACAGTAGCTTCGCAGAAGTGGCGGTCACGTGGTCATAAGGAGTACTACTGTAGTTTTATTTTAGGGAAGTGTTTCCTTTGCACGCCAGACTTTCATCGGATTAAGTTAACTCCTGCGGAGCACTTTATAGGTAAGAATAGCCGAAGTTCTTCGGAATGGTTTTTGCTTTCGTTTTTGCGGAAACTACACAAATAGGCGGATTTTTTTTTAGCTTTTTACCAGTATGAAGTGAAAAATTTTATTATTTTTCTCCCTCGGCGAAGATGAATAGAACAATAGCAGAAGTAGGCTACTGCTAAAATTTATATTTTATTAAGGACGTTTTTTCTATTCAATTTCCGTAAATTACAGGTAAATTTTATGTATTAATAGTTATATTTCTACATTTTACTGTAAGCTATGAATAATTTGTAGATGAACTTGTCACAAACGAACTCGTTCAGCGGCTGTTTTAAAACTGGGATATTTAAATATCGCTTTTTCATCAGTTTCACTTCTCTTTTGATCTTGTGACAACAATTTTTTCCCGGATGCGGCATGATTCGAGGTTTATGTAACGGAATGCACTCAAACAGAAACAAGGAAGTCAAATGGATATCACTTTACGCTGTAGTCACAGTAAATATATACTTAAAATATACATTTTTATTGTACAAGCAAGTTGACTTTGAAACACAGTCACAAGGAAGTAATTTGAACCAATCACAGTGAAAGCGTAATCTGTTGCTGTAAAACATGCTGTTATTGCAAGGTTTTGCACTTCTAAACGTAATAGTACCATGATCTTATTTCTTTATGTAAATACGTATACTACCAGTCAAAAGTATTTGCACACACTGATGATATTCTTTGCTAACAAATAAATGTACGGTATGTTCACCAGTTTAGAACCTTTATTAGCAAGAAAATGACATCTTTGATTCATCAAAGTAACCTCCTCTGGCAGTTATAACAGCAGAGGTAATTCGAGGCATTTTTTTTCTACAAGGGACATTAAATACTGCTCTGTTTCATGGGATAAAACAGTTAACTAATGTATTTAAACTTAAAGTTAAGCCTAGAATTTGACTGCCATCACCACACAACCAGTTACTAGGATGTCAAACATCCTATTATAATGGAAACTTGATTTATTTGACTTATATTTTCATTTATAGCTGTTCACTCATCTTTCCATTGCTAAAAAATATGAAGTTTATGAAATAAATGGGAAAATGGTAAAAAAAATTATTAAAAAACTGTAATGTGCCTTTTGACTGGTACTGTATACATATATATGAGTATACACAAGTTTTCTGGTCCTTGTGGATATAAGTATCAGAGGTGGAGAAAGTAGTAAGTATTACATTTTCATACCTATTGAAAAGTAGGCTACAAGTACCACACCATAATGTTACTCAGATAGAAGTCATCCAGTAAAATGTCACGCAAGTACAAGCAAAAGATACTTGGCTTTAAAAATACTCGAGTAAAAAGTATTTATTAATTAATTACGTATTAAGGATTTTCTTTTTTTAAAAAGTATGAAGTGTATTGGACCTTGAAAATTGTTAATTTGAGTGCAACCTGGGGGGAACAAGAAGAAGGGTGGATGGATGGATGGATGGATGGATGGTATGAGCTTTGTAAAGCTACTCGTTCTGAGCACAGGCTAAATAATCTTTAGTGATCCAGTAAATGGATAACTGCTGTTTTTATTTGGTCTGAACCTACCTCCATAAATAATTTATTGTATGCAAAAATGTCATTTATTGCAAAATACATACCTTTCGTGATGTTCATGAATGAATACTATTCATAGTGTACATTTACAGGCTGCTGTTTGCTATCAAATGGAGGTGCTTCTCTTAATTGCTAATGGTTTTGTGTGGTATTGCATGTACTGTATTAAGACTGTAGGTAGTTTCTGCTTCCATTAAATGCCAAACCATTAATTGCTAATGGTTTTGTGTGGTATTGCATGTATTAAGACTGTAGGTAGTTTCTGCTTCCAAGAATGCAATGCAGGTGTGCTGCAGATGGGTGTTTGGTATCGCCATTGTAATTAAACTTATTAAATCTGAGGAAAGTACTCATACTTATTCATTCACTTTCCTCCCAGAACAATTGAGTCGACTCTTGTTTTCAGAATGATGTGGAGGTTCCTGTTTATTGCCGCACTGTCTGGAGGGGCAGCGGCCCTGGTCAGTCAAGACCTGGATCAGCACTGGGAGATGTGGAAGAGCACGCATAACAAGTCCTACCAGCGCAAGGTGAAGTCTCACAAATTTGACTAAATGTGTGTAGGCACACCTGAGCAGGGAAGTGGTGGGTTAGAGATTGGTGTCTGGAAGGTTGTGGGTTTGGATCCTGTGAGGTAGAGTATTCATGTCGCTGTTCGGTCTTTGAGTGTAGCCTTCAACACTAGTTAATGCTGGTGCTTGTGGTCAACCAATCTGCAAGCTATTGCCCTCCGCGAGTTCATTTACCTAGTCTGGAGTAGGTCAAAAAAGTTTAAAAAGGCTTCTGGAACTGCCTTAGAGGAACTCGTGCTGAGTTCCGGCGGTGTGAATGCAACAAAAGTTCCTGGTTCCAGAAAAATGTTCTGGTTCCTGAAAAAAAATTCAGTGGTGTGAAACTGCCTAAGATGGGTGACATGGAATAATAACTACCTGAATTCTCCGCAAGGATGGATGAAGTACAGCTATTATCATTTTATGATGTTCAGTAGCCAATTCATATTTTGGATTGAATTGTGTAGGAAGAATTATATGTGTGGGAGTTTTGGGATTTTTCTGTTGAGCCTAAATTATGCTTCATTTGGGGGCAGAATGAAGAGCTGATACGGAGGCAAACTTGGGAGAAGAACCTCCAGCTGATCACCCTACACAACCTGGAGTTCTCCATGGGGATGCACACCTATGACCTAGCTATGAACCACCTGGGGGACTTGGTGAGTCGTCGGCTTGTTGTCAGGTTGTAACCATTGCCAGGTTATCCTTAAAGTTCAGGGCTGCGTGTTGAAGTTTCACAGCAGATACACCTGTCTAATGTGAGTCATCGGCTTGTTGTAACCATTGCTAGCTTGTCCTGTAGTGCAAGTGTGTTTGGTTTTGAACAAGATATTTGATTCAAAATGTTAATACTTTTTCAGTGTAATACACAATGATTTCCACCTTCTGTTGCCTTGGAGTGCCCATTAAGCTCTCAAGCCATTTGCTCTCAGGAAAGCTTTCAATGAACAGAAAGTTGTTTGCTCAGTGGTTATAGATGAGAAATTTACAAGATTACTCCTTCTGCATCTAGCTCGCATGTATGGACAATAGCATCGGCTAAATATAAATGTAATGTAAATGTCTCTCCTGTGAAGATTGGGTATAGGAGCTAACACATTTGACAGTTAATTACACAAATGAGTATATTGTTGTTTGTGTTTTTTTTGTATTTAGGTTAATCCACACCATAACAGGAAGACGGGGACATAAGAATTCTCATCTTCTCTGGTTTTCTTTTCACTTTCAGACCACTAAGGAAATTTTCTCAAAATTGGCTATGACTCGTGTTCCTTCGAATTTCAAAAGTGAACCATCTGCAATTGTGGGATCTTCTGGTGCTGCTGTGCCTGACGCCTTCGACTGGAGGGAGAAAGGCTATGTCACTGAAGTGAAGATGCAGGTATGAAGACGTGTGTCTCCTTTTGTGGGGAAACAGATACGCTGCCCTCTCTATAGATAATCGCTTAATGAATCGAATGCATCCATGAACCATCTGAGATGGTCTTTTCCAGGGCGCTTGTGGAGCATGCTGGGCATTTAGCGCAGTGGGGGCCCTTGAGGGCCAGCTGATGAAGACTCAAGGGAAGCTGGTGTCCCTTAGCCCTCAGAACCTGGTGGATTGCTCATCCAAGTATGGCAACAAAGGATGCAATGGTGGTTTCATGAATGAAGCCTTCCAGTATGTCATTGACAACCAAGGCATAGACTCTGATGCCTCCTACCCTTATACTGCCCATGTGAGTTTGTTACATCTGAAGTGCTTCAATGGTTAAACATGTTCTACTTGGGCTACCCAAAATTAAACAGCTGATTCACCTGTATGAGTGATTCCATCTATGATAGTACTGACTCTTTGTCACTGCACTTTTTAGGATGATCCATGTAAATACAACCCAGCCAACCGGGCTGCCAACTGCACAAGATACAGTTTTTTGCCTGAGGGAAATGAAGATGCCCTGAAGGAAGCTGTGGCCACCATTGGACCCATCTCTGTGGCCATCGATGCCACCCGGCCAACGTTCGCATTCTTCCGTAGCGGTACGTGAGGCTGACCTTTCTGTGAAACACGTATTTCTCGTGGACTTGTTGCTGTATGACACCTAGTCTACAGTAGGTCAGTCTGGTTCTTCAAATCTGCTTTATTTAGAAATCACAAGCCTTGATCTGTTTTATATTGATAAAGTAATGTGCAAATGAATCATTTTCTTTTGCTTTTTTTCAGGTATTTATAATGATCCAACTTGCACCCAGAAGATAAACCACGCTGTCCTTGTAGTGGGTTATGGCACATTGAACGGTGCAGACTACTGGATAGTGAAGAACAGGTAAATGACCTTAAAACTGAAATATACTGAAAAAATAAATCAGGTGACAAATATGATTATGATGATCATTATAATCTTATTATCAATAATAATATTAATAAGACAAGTAATATTAGTCTAATAATAAAAAATGCAGTAGATTTATACCTCATTCTCATTCATTTTCTCACTTCTCTTATAGCTGGGGAAAAACCTTTGGTGAGCAAGGATACATTAAAATGTCTCGGAACAATAAAGACCAATGTGGCATCGCCCTGTACGGCTGCTATCCCGTCATGTAATACCCACAGAAATGGCTGTTTCCCAAGAGCACTGTTCCAACTGTGATGGTCATAAGTCCTCACGTTTTGAAAGAGCCAAGCCAACTGCTCCACTTCTGTATTTTCAGTTGCCCAATGCTGTTTTTTCAGTTGCCCAATGCTGTTTTTTCAGTTGCCCAATGCTGTTTTTTCAGTTGCCCAATGCTGTTTTTTCAGTTTGGTTTTTCTCTGCCACTCTATTCTTATCTTTTAACATCCAGACTTCCAGTCTTGGCACGGTGGTGCAGTGATTAGTACTGCTGCCTTACACATCTGCAGTCTGCAGTTTGAGTCTCCACTCAGGCTCCATGTGTGTGGGGTTTGCATGTTCTCCCCATGTCGTCGTGGGGTTTCCTTGAGTTTTTCTGGTGTGCCTTGTGGTAGATCAATGCCCTGTCCTGGGTTATTCCCTGCTTTCTGTCCATAGTTAGGCTCTGGACCCTGCATGGAGCTTCTGGTCTGTCTGTGTGCCATTGTACTTACTGCTCCCTTTGTTGTGCTCTGTGCAGCTGCCAGTTCTGGAGTGATACTGTATAAAAAGTAACTGCTTAACTGTAATAGACTGAATTGAATTACCTGAATTTATGGTCATCATAGTGGTCGTGTGCTTTTGGGAAACATGAACTTTGATGAGAGATTATTGCAAATTATACTGATTTGATTATCTGCACCATTTTTCAAACTCTGTTACTATTAGAATATTGCATACACTGTGATTTCATCTTTAATTGATGATGCTGTACTCTGAGTGGTGTGAAGTATAAAAGTATAAATATACGTCTTATGGCTAAATTGACATTTCTGTCCAGTAAACATGGCCTTAAAGAAGACTGCTTTTTGCAGCCTCATTCAAGTCTGTTGTACCATTTGTTATATTTTTAACCTTATGTACTGACTTTTAATTTAAACTGGAGTCCAACATGTGTAAAATCACACAGCTTTACAGTAGCCTACATGAATTTCATTATTAAAAATTATAACATATAGATACACAATTGCATTATACACTCTCAGAATAAAAGGTAAACATGTGTACCTGTACCTTTGCTTGTCACTGGGGCTGTACCCTTAAGAGTCTGCCAATTCTACCCTTAGCTGTAGGTAATTCTACCTTTTAAAGTACAGAAATGGACTCTGAAGAACATTTCTGTACCATTGATGGTACATTAATACTGCTTGTACCTTTGGGATGTTCCTCAGGGTCCATTTCAGTAACTTAAAAGGTACAATTACAAAGGAACAGCCCCGGTGACACGCAAAGGTACAAATTTTTACCCTTTTTCTGAGAGTGTAATATGAAGATAAAGACAGCAGTAAAACTTTATAAAATCACCTGTCTCCTAACCGCAGAGTCATAGGGTTGAATGCATGACTAACTTAATATTCCCACTCAGTATGGTGCACACCACCAGTCAGTAGGTGGCAGTAAACACCTGTTATTTAGATTAAACGCTCCCGTAAATGGATAGAAGAAGGCAAAGAAATTTGAGTGGGGTTTGTGTACTATGCAGGATATTCTGAAACTGCAAGAAAGTATGCATTTTTTAAGGCAAACAAGGATCCTGCTGTTAGTAATCAGTTTACTGTTTTACGTAAATTTCCAGCATCGTAGGCGGCTGTATGTATTCTTAAACTGGATTTCCCCAAAGACCCCAATTATCACAATGGCTACTTGTAAACTGCCCTTTGACTCTGCTATATTTTGTTTTTCATTCATTTTACCCTAGATGCTAGTTTGATGTGTAAAAACATTTAGTGAATCTTTTATTTCCTATGTATTCAGCAAGACTTTTTATTTTTTCATACGAAACTTTTTGAAGTGGCTCTGGAGGTGCCACCGTTACCTCACACGTCTGGAGATGGATGTTCTTGTGCTGCCTCTGCTGCTTGTGTTTCTCTGTGTGCTTGTGTTTTCTCCCCTTCTTGTTTCCTCGAGGTTCTCCAGATTCCTCCCACTACAAAAACATGCAGACAGGCTATTCCGTTGGTCGTCTTTTGAATGTTCTGCAATGGTCTGGCATCCTATTCAGGGTAAACCCCTTGCCGCGTGCCCTGTACTGTATGAGAGAACCACCCCTCTCCACCCCCCCACCCCCCACCCATTACGTGTGTTAGATAAATGAATGAAGGAATGAATGTTACATTTATATATCGTTTTTCAAGACACCCAAAGCACTTTACAAAACCAATGGGGAGTCACTTCAACCACTATCACAGTGCAGCCCCCACCTGAATGATGTAACTGCAGCCATTCTGCACCAGTACACTCACCGCGCAGTAGCTAAAAGATATAGGGGATGTTAAGGAGGCCGGATGTTGAAAGACAAACAACCAAGATTTCACCAAATTCAGGTCATTTTTAATAGTTGTAGTGCAACATCACAACAAACAATTTCACATGAGGTATTCAAAGGAATTTTTACTTGTTGGTACAAAATGTCCCACCACGATTGCGTCAAATTATTATTTTAAAGCCTTTGGTTCATTAGCCACATTTGATCAAAGGAGTCCAGAAACAAACAGACAGACCGTCAGAGAATAATTCACATTTCCATATCATATATGGGGAGTAACAAGAAAACGCAAGTCAGTATTTGGAACGTAATGATGCTATGGTCAGCACGAGAATCCCCTTTGCTTAGTCATCATTTTCAATTCCATTATGACACAATTTATGTTAACTCAAACGCCATGTGATGGTCACATGATGTTTTTTCAGTTCAGTTTGGACAGAATTAATGTGACATTTCAACCATAATCATCTCTGCTTCACTATTGTTTTTTATTTGCTTTAATGCTGTGTCATTGTTCCTGCCTAAAAAGCTGAGCTCGACATGTTACCAGTCAGCTGTATCCAGACTTGCTATCAGATCGAAGAAGAGCAATAAACATGACAGACGTAAGAGATTTGTCTGTTTGTATGATTTTTGTTTCAGTTCCATGATCGATTTGTTTAATTTCTTGCCATTGCATTTGATCATACATTCTTATTTTTAACAATATCAGGATAAAGTAACTGTATAGTAACTGCATCCTGCTTGGATTGTCGCTACTATCATTTTCTTTCCATTAAAATTTCTTTTGCTTGAAAGACCACCTGGCAACATATATTCCTGACATAATGAAGAGCTTGTTGCTTTGGTTGCGTGCGTATAAACTCATCAGTTTATACGATGTGTTCATTCTAACAAATTGTTTAAACACATATACAGTTTATATAACTACTTCAAAACCAAACGAGGCACAGACACCAGGTGGCAGGAGCAAATCTTTGGTTCAACAACGTGTGGGTGTCAGGGCGTCACACGAGGTAGGTAGGAGACACAGGGGCTTCTGAGGAACACTGCTAAGGTGGACTCCCTTTCCACCCACGAGAGGCCATCGCATTTACAAAAGCAGTCAAACTGAGTTTTTACGATGATCTTGCAACATCTTGACATATTTTTAAAAGCATTTCGTGTCAAGAAGGTCACTCAGAGAACAAGCAAAAAAAAAATAAAATAAAAATACAACCGTAAGTTTTAGTTCCCTGAATTTCCAGAAGCCTTTTCACAACCACACAAACTCCTTTGAACTCCCTGGGAACTGTGGGATTGATTCCGGTAGAGGATCTCAGTAGCTGCCTGGTCTGTGTAAACTATGTGCAACCCACAGTGGATTCCTGGCCAAAGGGGGTGCATCAGAACATGTGCCTCTTCACTGTGGGGTAGCCCTCTGTCCTCGCTCTCCCACCGCACCATAACAGCCAGTGGCTAGACCTTACCTCTATTCACAGTATGAAAGAGGCACATATTCCCGGAGCCCAATCTACTGGACACAGGGATGGATCTGTCTTGCGAAAGCCAGTCAAGTATTTCACATAGCTGCCCTATGGAATAATCATGGTCCTAAATGGCCTCACAACCGTGGTGAGATGTGACACCTCCAGAAAAAATTATACCTTTACACATTTTTTTAAAACCATATTTTCAGACAGTATTAGGCTAATTTAAAAGGCCGTGTGGATATTACAGAACCACAACAACAGACGAAAAGTCCAACAAGCAGTGAGTGTGTAATTCCACCACCCCCCCCTGCCCCCCCCACTCTGGGCCACAGCATCTCACCCCTCTCTGCGCACAGCCTGCTTACAATTGTTGCCCATTAAATTTTTATTTGCCCACCCCTCCCTCTGAAACAAACACCCCCCACCACCACCTCTCCAGTTCAGCTGCCTCTCTGATCTCTGGCCCTTTGAATGCCCTAGGCCCCCAGGTTTGGCCAAAAGCAGGCCTCAGACCAGACATGCACAGAGGAGACAGATGAAAAAAAAAATCCCTCTCAGGTCTTTGAAGTCTACAAAAGTCGATGGCCTCTTTCAAGGCCTGCCTTTCAAGCGCGTGCTGTGAGGCGGCCCCACAACACGGCCTGCGAAGGTTAAAGACAGAGGCTGGCTTGTCCGTGCGCAGTGAAAAGGGCATTGGTCCCAAAACACGTAAATAGGGAACTGAGGAAAGGGGAAGCAAGGCTTGTGCTGACTGCAAAATGCTCATGAAATGGCATTAGAAAATAAGAGGACGCCCAGAGCAGTACAGGACAATCACCATCTTAAAAAACACACGTCTTTCTGGAAAGATTGATGTAGTGATACAAGAGAACTGGGTGCTTTCTGAACAATTTTTCACACTCACAAATAATATCCTATCTGTCATCCCAATTTGCTGCAGGTTCTATGCAATTAATCCCAGGATTAAAAAAAAGGTATTTTTTTAATCCCTATTTGTTTTATTACTCCAAAACAGTATAGCCTAAAACTAACGCTAATCCAGGTGTGAGATCGATTTGCATCATTATTGTCAGGTGCCATCGACTCGATATTGAATCCCATGGAGTTTACACAGCACAGAAGATGCTAAAGATGCTGTCTGATGTCGGGGAGTTAGGGCTCCTATGGCAAATTCATTCTGCACACGTATCAGCATTTGTACTATATATATGGTATCTATGCATGTTTGTGTCTGCGGACGGCTGACAGTGTACAGTGGCTGAGAGACCTCCGAAAAATCCTAATTAGCCCTCTAGCACGTCCCCAACCCTGCACCCCTGTCACCATGTTGGCTGACATTTGGATACTATTTACAAGCAACCTGTGCGTGAAATGTCACGCTTCACGAAATTCAGACCAAACCAGCCTCTGAGCAGAGCCTCACTCATGAGACGTTTACCAACAGTGAAAAAATGTACATAAATAAAGGCCTGAAGGGGTAATAAGCATCTGTACACCGTACGGTAGAGAGAGGGGGAGGAGGAAATGATACATTCAGAGAGGACAATTTTTATCTTTGGTATGCTGACAGGATTCCACAGCTACTGTATCTAGTCCCATCGTAGAAAAAGATCAACTCCCAGTAAGTATACACAGATATACAAAGGATCTTAAAGTTAAAAATATGAATAAATAAAAGTAAAATGACAAGGTTGAGGAAAAAAAGCTCTGGCGATTAAAATGTACCATAAACTGTGAAACGAACAAACAACTAAATAAATAAATAAATAGATAAATAGAATAAATAAATAAATGATTAATAATAAAAATTCTTACAAAATTCCATGATGCTTCGACATTTAAAAAAAAAAAACCCATATAGAATCCTTATGACTGAAAACCATGATGCCAATGTCAATTAAAAGAGCCAACTTTTAATCTATGTGCTTTAATGAGGTACAAAAGAGCTTAAGGTGTCATTTCCCTACATCTTCCACACTCTGGCTGGTAAAAAAAGTTCCACTTACCAGCCCATTGACGTATCCTATTTATACATTTTTCTCATGTAAGAAAAAGACCCATAATGTTGAGTCGAAATGACTCTAGTGTTTTCTTTGGCAGGTCTACAACTGTCCGCACCTTGTTATTCTACATGTCTGTCCACTTTTTAGATATACCTGGTATTATGCTGTAAAAAGACTCAGTTGTCTTTGATACCCTCGCGCCATAAATAAATGCCAACTATAATGTTCTATAATTAGCTAGCTTAAGGGGATCCAAAGTCATAATCCATCAGGGATGTCTCCTCCACTGTTAGATGTTGTGCAACTCCGTGTCATGCCCATTGATTAAAAAGTATAACTTTCAGAAGGACACCGGACCTAAATATGGAATTCCCTTCCACGAATTAATGCACATGAATGCATTAGTTAACAGCGAGACGTTGTCAGCCTGTGTTAGATATATGTGTAGACCACAGAATTTGACATGTTTGGGGGCAGCTTCTATGAAGAGTGATGAATTTTGGGGAGAGTCCATGAATCTGTACACGTTGTTCATAAATGTGATCAGACAGATGACGAGAGGGTCACGACATGCTCCAAAAACACCCTCCTGCATTTTACATTCACTAGCCCAAAAAAAATTCGACCATTCGGGAAGTATTTTTTACGCAGATTACAATGCCATTGATGCTGTAGGTGCTGAAGGCCCGAACAATCTTCGAAATCTTCAAAGTGTTCTGGCACCTTTTTTTTTTGAACATTTCTGTGGATCTAACCGAACAGGATGCTCTATTAGAAAACTTTCCCTAAGCGATGACCAACCCTCATTGAGTCCGACTGGCTTTATAAAAAAAGCAGATACTCTTCATCTGACCACAGGATAGATGTCTCAGAATATTTTACGTCCATCCTGGCTCCGGTCCCCCATTCCACTGTTTCCTTCTCCCCTACCCATCAGGCTTTGCTGCAGGACACGGCAGAGGAGGAGATGCTGGAGCCGGAGGAGCCCGTTGAGGAGGGCCGGCCTTCGTCGGCCCACCTGTTCAGGTTCCGGCGGCGGGCGTTCATGAAGAAGTTGCTGACTGTGGAGTGTTCCAGGCCCAGCTGCTGAGAGATGGTGATCTGCAGGTCCTTGGCGGGCCGCTGGTTCTCACGGAAGATGGCCGTGAGGGTGCGTCGCTGCAGGTCTGTGAACACCAGCCGAGTTCGCTTGGGACCCTGGTTCCGCTCCACTTTGCTCTGCTCCTGCTCCTTCCGTTTGCAGGCTGAATCAATGACAAGGTGGGGGAAACTGGTTTAAACTACATAGTTCACCCCAAAACAAATGAAAACTAGATCCTGACAGTTGTACAATTCGGACTGAACGGTATGGAAACAATTCAGTGTTTACTGCAAACATGGAGCCCAGAATGAATAGAATAATTTGCTCAAGGATACATACATATATTACTGGATGGTTCTACTGTAAACCTTCCAGTGCTACTTGTACCAAACAGTGGGCAAAATTGTTCATATGGCATTGATTTTCTTGTGGAAATGTGTACTTCCAATGTCGTTTTCTCAAAACAGCCATGATAGAATTAACTTCACTTAATTTTGCAGGAACTATGTTGTTCGAACACGCATTGCCCAAATAATTAACAGATTCCAGTTAAAAATACTTAAATAAAAGAAAACTTTATAATGATTAATCCATCTGCTATTTCATAAGAAAGAGAGTGAGGGCAAAAATTAATTAGCTTCCTCTATAAGTCACACAGCTGATTGCTATTTCATAGGCATTGAGGGTTTTGGAGACAGGGAAAAATGTTTAGATGTATGGTAAAAAACACTCTGAAGGTCAATAATGCAAGTTTCTTAGCAAACAATATTTTAATTGAAGTTTCCCCTATCTAGTAATTACTAAGAATAAGCTAAAATGACAAATTTCTGCAGAGTTTTCTCCCATCCAGGGTCTTTCCTTCTGTCCTGTGCTTCCTGCTAAAGGCTACAAGCTCAGAGTGATTCTGTTCTGGATAAAGTGACCAGTTTTCCTTTACTTTATTTACTAACTAGTATTGTATACGCTATTTAACTTCAATCCTCAACAGATAAATCAGAAAATAAGAATTAGGCTGTATCTATTTATTTATGTATTTATTTATGTATTTTGCTGTGTTTGTTATGTGTACGTCTATATGCAATATAGACATACACATAACAAATTGTTGAGTTGACCCATCATTAAGCTGCATCTCATTATTCTTATATATGTTACATTGTTGGTGTTCTTTTAATATATATAATATATAATATATATTGTGCAAAAGTCTTAGGCAGTCAAAGAAAGCAATATTTCAGTTATCTTCATGTTGGTGTAAAGTTCTGTCTGTCAAAGTGTCAGATTCACCATCTCAAAACCTCTCCTAAAATTTATATACAATCTAATACACATGTATTTTTTGACCTGACCACTACCCCACTTTGTTCGGCTAATCAATCGCTCATTGAGTTATTTAACAAATAAAGTTAATTAATCCAGCTGTTGGAGAAATTTAACAAATACAACATTTTTGTAAGTTTAGCTGAAATTATTCTTTTTAACACAAGAATTGCAGCACAGATATTTTATGTATGAACACAAATGGTTTCAGTTTCCTAATGATAACTGTTCCAGAATGTTCTGTTACCACCTATTAGGTAGTTGTGTTACACATTGGATCACCTTTTTCTCTGACTTTGCTCTCCAAAGGTCAGGGGGCATCTTTCAATTGCATGTTAATCAATTTGGTTTCATTGAAGACCCCAGCTGGGTAATTTCCTGAGCTGATCAATGCAAAGGAAATGCACTGAATGCTATATACTTTACAAGCTATACAGCAGTGACTTACTTAATGTCATTAAATGCAAGCATTTTTAGTCTGGACATTGTGTCCATCGAATATTGCCCTAGCAATATTCCCCAGCTTGACCTTCAATGATACCCTCTTCAGTTTCTGTGACATCTGTTTGACATCATGGGACAACCCAAATGCGCATTAGTCAATTTTTTTTCTATTCTAGAACAGCTATTTCCAATATTGGAACCTTCACCACCTTGTCTGAACGCTGTGTGCAAGGACAGAGGGCTTTTGGGTTGTAGAAAGAACGGCATTGATCTGCAATTCCAAGGAGGGCAGCAGCCAACCCTGAATCACAGACCCATTATTTTATAGTAAGACAGGAGAGTGACAGAGCAGTGAGGTAAACACATAGTGCACCTATACCCAGAGGGTACAAATAGATCACTGGGCTTAAACCTATTTTTGCAAGTCAAGTAATTAACCAAACACACTCGCAGAGAGGTCATTTCTTTAAGTCAATGCCATATAAGACGAAGTCACGTCAAATGATTTCTCTCATCTGAGCTCTAGTCGTGCATTCCATCCCATTTCTTCTCCTCAGAGAAACAGAGCAGAGGAAGGCATCTTGGCCCATGAATGTTAGAGCCTTTTAAGCTTCAACTTTGCATCTGTCTGTCACAGTTCAGCGTACCAGTGTATCATTTCACTTCCTCCACAATGCAGGTAATACAGGGGCCCTGGGCAACTGCCTCTTCTGCCTACAGCTAGAGCCAGCCCTGCTTCTGCTTCCATATAAGCAATTCAATTTGATGTATATGACATTTGTTATTGATATGTACGTTCATTTTTGTCATGTCCTCAGTGCAAAGTAATCAACAAGAACTATCAACCAGCAAATGATAAAAATCCCAAAATATTCTTTATTTATCTAATGGACTTGGTTTAACTGCCTCTAATCATACATACAAATAAGCTGAAACTATACTTATTTTATTTTGTTTTACCATTTTCTTCATTTACTCTAAATCATCTCCCACCCTGTTAGTTCACTCTTTTTTGTCTTTCAAAAAACGGCTGCAGAAAATCTTTTTTTTTCCGGTGGGAATTTAACTGTGCAAACAGACGTATGTTTCATCTGTCTCTCCTACCTTTTTTTAAGTTTTTGAAATGCTATCCGATGTTGTCACACTCTTAAAGTTCCACCCTGTTAGACTACGTTATGGAGAAAGTCTGTCCAGTCAAAAAAAAAAAAATTAAGAACATATCCGACATAGTCTGTTTATCTGTAGAAGGTTAGATAGCTTAATCCTTGTTTGGTGTTTTTGTTACTGACCTGCTGTGTGCATGTCTGCTAGATGCACAGGTTTATTGGGTTTTATAAGCAATAGAACTTTAGCGGCTCCTGTCTTAATCACTTTACAAGCAACACTCAGGTTTAATACATGGCACTACCTCCCGCCAGATAATCTAACTGATAAATGCCCCACTTGTTTTTCTGCCAAAATATTGTGTTTCTTTAAGAAGTGAATGATAATCACATGATGAGTTACACCATCTTTTTTTACTAAATGTGACTAAAACACAATTTCTTCTCCCTGTCCTCTCTAATTTGTGATTTCCTCTCTAGCTACCTGAACAGAGAATGTGCCATTTCTCATCATGACTGACTTTGATAAGGAACCACAGACATACACAAAGCTATTTGTTGTGTCCCTCCCTCAGTTTTACATATTGCAATAAAATCTGGGGGGCGGGGTGATTGTTTTGAAACATTGTTATGCAAAACATGCAGAAGAATGAGAGAAAACCCATCCACTGCTAGAACCTCCTTATATTGGCGTTCCACCCTCATAACCTCCGTTCCACTGTTAGACCAGTCATTTTTAGACATTAATTTGATGACAACATTAAATGTTTGGCACATTTTTGTGTTATTTTGGGAGGTGAGGAGCATTAACAGCATTTATGTGCAAAATGGTTATTTTGGTTTTTTTTGCGTATTATATACCATCAAAAATTACAGGTTCATAGTAATCAAGGCATATTCTGTTAGGTAATAATTGTTTTGTTATTCTTTTAAGAATGAAAATGACTATGATTACATAAGGAACATATAAGAAAAGCTCATTATTGTCTAATATTTACATTATTAATATTTTGTGATAGCTATGTATAAGTCCCTAACAGGGTGGGATACCTTCACGGCCAGTGCCTGAATAATGTAGCCATAATTATTATATTCTGAGTTCTTGAGCTTGACCAGTATATTCCTAATAGTTACGCATGCCGAAAACATAAAAAACATGCAATTTTTTCCACAAAAATTATGAAGCTAAAATGTTACCGGATAACAGGAATGACTCCCTTGGACTCCCTCGGACTCCCTTGGACTCCCTCTGACTCCCTCGCTCTGATTGTGCCCCAGGCGGCTGCCTCGTTTGCCTATGCCTGGATCCGGCCCTGTATCAGACTCATTTGCTTCAACGTTGCATGTCTCTTTCTATAGAGAGAAAAGCTCACTATCCCTCAGACTCAAAATAGGCTGATCTATCTGCACACGCTATACCTTGCCTGATAGGACAAAAACTGATGTAATCGAAGAAAATACCGATATAATAGGAAACTACAAATACTTCACAAAGTCATGCATAGCAACGAGACTGTCAGAGAAATTTAAAACATTGTATTTACATTACCATGCTGATTTCTATTGACACTGTCTAGACCACTCCGATCTATGGCAAGACTGTGTGATCATTACTCAAAAATACTGCAGTGCTGTAACTGAATGAGATGTATCTAATTCATAGTATTGTATCAAATTACCAAGCTGTCCATAATATTAGAAGAGGAAAAAGAGTATATACTTAAAGTGGTATCAGTTATCATTTGAAGAATATTACAAACAATTAACAAACTATATACAAACAATTAGCAAGGAAAATGTGATTTGTTCTACTTGAAAAGGTCTTCCCTATTATTACTGCGGAACTGTGAAGGATGTAAGGTTTTATAGTCATGTATGGACTTCGTAGTGGAATTTTTCAGAGGGATGAAGAAAATAATAGAGAATGTAATGCAGTATTGTTACCACATATAGATGAATAAAACTGCATTTTAAGTCAGTTATCAAGACACCACTAATTCACTGTATATACTGGAGCCTGAGCATCAAACAATAAAGAGGACAATGATGGAGGGAACTCCCCCCCCCCAACATTTCACCCCCTCCTCCCCTCTCGATCGTTCCTCATCAGCTCTAGTCACGATCACAGCACCGGCCATTTAGCAAACGCTTCCCCGTGCTGTAATCGTCTGTAAAAGAGCCTCGGTTTCCGAGCCATAAATTGCCGAAGCTGGGACGCTCGAGGGCTATAGGAATAAATATTCCCCCACGGAGTCCTTATGATCGTGAGAACGACGCCTAATCATGATGTATGCTCCTGTCCTGTGCGGCTGAAACGTGACCGAAATGCTTTTCCCTGCCCCCACCTCCAGCCTCCATACCTTTCACCCCCTACTGCTTACCCCCTCCCAGGCTCCCCATCCTTCTCCCCCCCCCCCCCCATTGATGTCTTGGGCCACGGGCTGATAGAAATTATTGATTAAATCTGTGCAACTCCGACTCCAAGACCCGCCAAGGCTGGTTAACCCTTTCAGAGCAGGGATTTGTGGTGCAGCGGGTGCTTCATGTGTCTGAATACTTCACCACCGACACTGGCTGTACTGTATCTCTTTCATGCCACATGCATGAATCTGCTGACGATTCGATTGCTCCGGCTGCCAGGCCATACCTGTACACCAGCCTGGTCCCACATGCTTTCCACACATTGCAAAGAAGATAGGGAAGAACAATCCGCTCCTATTATATAAAAAAATAATTTCCTACCCTGTTGTATCATATTTATGTGGGTGGTTTTCTGTCATTTTCATCCTTCTTGGATTTACCAGGCCTGGGGGGTGACCCTGGGGACCTTTGCACACTAACCACTCTACAGACTGGCCCAGGACAGAGCAGTAGTGCTCTACAAGGCTTACATAAACACTTACAAAATTGGGGATTAAACACCAGAAAGGCACACTTCCTGGTAACACTGTAGGCTGCTGTGTTCAGGTATGTCATCGTTCAACTATTCAAAGTCCTACAGCGATTTCTGCCAGTTGTAATCATTTAAATGCAAAAAAAAATGTACTATATATCAATACAATAGATACATGTAAAGTGCTGAAGAGTCATTAACTTCAGCTAGAGACCTCTATAAAGCAACAATGTTTTAAACTTGGCTAGTAGGTAAAACCTCTGCTGACTGAGTATGGGGTGTCTAAATAGGAGGCCTGTTTTCTGGCCGTAGCTGTGTTGTGCTTTTGCGTGAGTGTGTGGTTCTTTCCCAAGGAAATCAATACAGCCTGGTAATTAAGCAAAGGGGGTCATCAGGAAACCAATCCCTTGCTGAAAGCTGGTTATGACAAAAGGACAGCAGAGCTCCCTAAATGCTTCATTTATAGTCTAAAATACAATGCTTTACTAGATTTATAAAAGAAAAGTTTTATATTAAATTCTGCGGATGGGACTATCCATGCTATTGTAGACTATCCATACTGCCATGGAATTATCCATACTACCATGGGACTATCCATGCTATTGTAGACTATCCATGCTGGCCTGGGACTATCCATGCTGGCCTGGGACTATCCATACTGCCATGGGACTATCCATACTGCCATGGGACTATTCATGCTACCCTGGGACTATCCATACTGCCATGAGATTATTCATGCTACCCTGGGACTATCCATACTGCCATGGGATTATTCATGCTACCCTGGGACTATCCATACTGCCATGGGACTATTCATCTCTGCATCCTGGGATCAGCTCCAAGCCCCAGACTTTAATATGCAAACTTAAATTTGACAAGCAGTTATGGTAAATGGGTGGATTAAAATTGAAATCCAAAATTTACTGCATTGAATTGTTTGTTAATAATTAACCTTAAATCTCTCTTTTGCAAACTAAACATAGTTTAGTCAGCAGTTCCTTGTGCCTGACAACCTGTTATAAGCCTCATAAATTATACTGGCACACACTGAGTAAGCTTTACAACATCACACTTCAGCTCACCTAACCCCAGAGTACAGCTTCAGGGTCCTTACAGAGAAAAAGCAGTTGTCAATGTGGTAAATGGTTTTCTCGTTTCCTTTCGTACTGGCAGTAAAACTGACACTCTTCCAGTCTCCAGTGTGTCAGTGTAACACTGCACTCTGAGACATGTGTTCTCACAGTACTGGTCCCTCTGGGATGTTCATGGACACCAAATGACAATGGCTGTACAGCGAAAGCTGTGGAAGGCTCGCTGATTTTTACTTTCATTCTAGCACAGTTGAAATTATATCTTGGAAGAATGCAACCTTAGTTCTCAAGCAGATGGGCCATTCTGACTATGAAACAGACAAGAACACAATGTTGAATTTCAGACATTTTGTTCCACTGTGGCCTCAGTATCACATGAGGACAAGGTAGTGACTGCACTCAAAAAAGCATCTTGCTTACATACCTCATACGTAAACTACACCACGTTTGTGGACAGCTAGTGGAATGTCAATTAGGCATGCAAAATACCCTACTGCCACTGTGGTAAATTATCAAACAGTAGTGGAATAACGAAACTGACAATTAATATATCAATTCTACCCCTACTTGAGGTCAGTTACATTAAGTATAAGGAAACAAAATAATATATCCATAGAATAATGTTGCTTTATGGAAATACCCAAAATGATCAGATTTTTTGCCAAATAAATTCTTGGCGTTAAACTAACTCCTTTTTTGGACACAGATCCTCTATACAGCCTGTAATCTGTCTTTGCACACAGTGAAATTCACCTTACAGCACCGTGCTATCTGTTGTCTATTTGTTTTTTACCTTTTAAACAGAGTCTGCTATCTTAAAAGTAACGTCTTCAGTGGAAGTGTGTGTGCTTTAATACTGGCAACAGCATATGTTTCAGGAGGCAAGTCCGATAATGTCGGAACTGGCATCAGGCAGGACACATTTTTGGATCCTTTGTCTTAGTCTGAACAGTGCAGATTCCAATTTTAAAGGGAATGTAATATATACTGTGAAGGACAAAATAAGTGCTGCTCATCTTGCAGACAAATGCACGTTAAATTTGACAGCACTGCTGCATCCTGCTATTTACACAGCATCCATAAGGTCTAATGCCTTCTGCGGTGCCCATCTGTGGTGCCTATCTGCGGTGCCCATCTGTGGTGCCCATCTGCGGTGCCCATCTGCGGTGCCCATCTGCTGTCCAGCCGGCAGGCAGGCGCTCAGCTCTTACCCTCCAGCCGCAGAGATGCCATCCTCTGGAACTCGGGCTCCTGCAGCCACCGGGACATTCTCTTGAAGGTCTCGCGGCCTGACTTCAGCTTGCCCCACGGTTTCGGGTTGCGCAGGAGATCAGACAGCGTGCCCTGTGACCTACACAGCACCCTCTCTGCAAAGATCGCCTGAGGGATGCTGTAGCGCTTCAGCTCTGTGATGATCCTCTGTGCCACTTCCTTGGTGTTTATTTCCTCGCCGCACCCTCCGCCGCCCTGCGAACAGGCCATCGCACCATCGCTGGACAGGGAGGTGGAGCAGAGCTCCCCAACTTTCGAACCCTGCTGGCTCATGGGCTGGAGTTGATAGTGATGGCCGGCGTATACGTGAGGGTGGTGGCTGTGGATGTGCTGGGGCATCTCTGCCTTGCTGAGCTGATGACCGACGCTGGAGTCTCCCAGCACCTGAGGTGACGCCTCTCGCCCAAAGTCCACAGTCCGGCAGAAGACATTGCCGCTATGTACCTCGTATCCACTGGGAAGCGGCTGTCCGGCGACGTCCGCGGTGTTTGCCAGACCGCCATAGCCGTGCATGGCTGCCCCTATACCAGACCCGGCACATGGTGAAGAAAGATTCGGAGAGATGCCCAGATCTTTAGCATAGGGGTTGTAGAAACTATTTCCGACGCCTCTGTCCTCACGCATGAGCGTAAAACTCCCGATAACGTTATTGACCGGCAAACATGGGTGATGGTGGTGGTGGTGGTGGAATTTCTCCTCTAGGGGCTGTAGTGGCGTGAGCGTGGTGTATGTGCTTCCACAGCTGCTTGGTGAGTCCACCCCATATCCAAGTGCAGAAAAGGAATGGTCCAGCCTTGGGGCTCGATGTTCAGGGTCCACCAGAGTCATTACGGATCCCCCCAAGGAAGATCTTGGGAAGACATCAAACAGTTCCCGAGAATGTAGCATCGTGCTTCCATCGTGGGACTGTGCAAGGTCGCTATGGCTGTGAACCGACAGCTCGGAAATATTCCCATCCATCTTTGTTTTAAATTATTTGGCTTATTTTGTCAGTTTTGCAGTACCAAAGTGTTCCTAATAGTCTTTTCCTCTCCTGGAGTTCACCCAACTTCAAAATTATGCTATTAAAAACTAAAACAATTTTCCACTTTATTTAATAGCAAATAATGAAGTTTCTATATGAAATTATTTATTCCACCATGTTTCGTGAACCTTGATCAAAACCAAACGGCTTCAGTTACGCTGATATTAATTTCATTTACATATCAGCAATCCTTCTCTTATTTCTTTTGCTTCTCAATGTACTGTACTCTTCTGGTTTTCAGCCTGCAGGGAAAAAATAATCTTTTAACGGGTATAACAACAAACTGTAATTTGTTCACTAGCCTTCGCCCATTAATTGTTATCTTCAAATGTAAAATTAATTAATTTTCATGATCATTTAGGGGAAATAAAAGTTAACTAAAGAAAATAGTCTAGTCACATTTGCATATGAAATGAACCGCTATCGCTTAATTGGCGAATAAAAGTTGCATCGCTGTCTTTAAGTGGTGAATATTTAATGAGCAATTAATTCCCGGGAAATTAGCCCCCATCATTGGGTTGCCTACCTCACGTAGCAGTCGATGATCGTCGTGGACGCTGGACAAAGCAACGAAGATACGTTCTACTGCGGAAAAATAACATGGGACCGAATAAATACGATCTCCGGATTACAGCCTGTTTCTCATTGATTATTCCAGAATCGCGGGGCCGGATGCCAGTTGTTTATTTCTCGCCTCTCTGCTGATCAGCTTGTCGCTGTTTTGCCCGCTTGTCCGCGCAACGCCAAGAAACTGGCCAGTTTAAGGTCTTGAGAAACAGATGTGTTGGAAACACTTATATTTATTGAAAGGGGAGGTCAAACAATCAGCCTCCAAACAATCGACTGCGAACCACAACGCCTTTTCCGACGTCAAACGACAGCGCTTTGTTTCATTTTTTTCTTAAATAATCTGGTGATGCTTGCAGCCGTCGTTTCTACCTGCCCGCCTGTTCGTCGTTTCCCCACCTAGTCCGACTCTCCTCTCTTCTCCTGCACTCACAGTGGTCCGCTTCAGTGCGTCACTTGCTAAAAAATCTGACAGATGTGCAATGAAATTCCAACTTCAATTAACCCTTTCGCGTCAGCAGACGTGTGGATGGAGGGGGGCGGAGTTGGGTGAAGATACAAACATCTCCAATAATCGGGGTGCACTCAGGACATGTAATAAGCATCAATTGTTTAATTAAGACCGCGGTAGGACTATGTTAAAATTGGAGTAGTGACAATTTTTCAAAGGCAGATTACTTTTACTAAATTATAGGTATTTAAATAATACAATAACAATTAAATTGTTTCCTTATTAGATTTTTACGACTGATTTGCCGATTTCTATAATACTAACTTTGTAAATATGTATTTGATGACTATTGATTGGCGTGTATTTCACTGTTTGATGATGTCCGTCATGTTGTTGGTTATTGTTGAAACATGATTCTATAGGTCAATCTGTAAAATATGTATCCATACGAACAAATATGTCCTGTCCTCCCCAATCCCTCCTTCCCTTTCACTTTGTTGCGGTCCAACCCTAGACTGGATCGTAACATAAGATAAGCATGAACATTTATAATTTTCTGATCTAGCTAAAAAGTGAAAAAAAATTGACAGTGTTTACTTAGTGTAGCCTATAAGATGTTAATTTATCTACCAAGACTGTTACAAATAACATTATTAGTCGTGTTCGATGGATTGTTTTACTCACATTATTATTATTATTATTTTTTTTAAATGTTTTCGCCATTAAATCTCAATTGTACCATCGATACATTTTGCGCGATAACCTTCAATTCATTTACAATAAAATGTGACTGAATTTAATTTTCAGAGAACAGCTACTCTGTCCTTTAAAAATCAGAGTGCGATGTGGGACTCCTGTTTCCTCTGACCAGATGCTGCCTTATCGATCCATTGCAAGAATGGGTAGATGGTGAGTAGCTGGAGGTAAAATGGTCAGTGGTTTCTGTACGGATATAAAAGGGTTTTGAAGAGCCAGAGGTGAAAGTTCACCTTCTGTTGCCGTTAACATTAGAGTGGACATTCGCTCGGCCCTTGGTAGCCTACATACACGCCCCGTCCCTTCTAGAAATGAAATAATATAGAGGCCTCATTTTTATATATATATATATATATATATAGGCTACGTACCAGTCGTATATAGACGGTTTAATCAGAGTATGATCATTCCCTTGTATAGAGTATTATATATTGGATATTCCGTAATGTTGTAGTTAAATGAAATGTTTTTGACCACGTCGGTAAAACCCCGAAGTAGCCGAAACGCTACTTTTGCCCTGTCGCTTCAGTATAATGCGCGCCACTATTTCACTTGTTACAATTATTTACAATACATTTGTTTTAATAATGTTAATATACGTAGAATAATTCTATATTATATAAACCTGCTCGTCTGATTATATAATGGGTACGGACCATTTAATGGTCAATTCACCAATAAATATTGATTGTTCTTACTAGTTAAAATAGACAATAATTGCAAGAGACTGTGAAATAGATACTGAAACGAAATAGGTTAATTAAATCAGTAATTAATCAATCACCATACATATCATCTTCGTATAGAAAACACAGTGTTATCATGTCTTGCAGAATGTCGATAACGCTGCGCACACGTTATAACAAACACAGACACTTAAATAGCTATATTTAATTTATTATTTAAAGCAAAGGCCACGCTAGACGGAGTCGGTGCCTTTTTTAAAAAAAACTACCAATAAGCTATAATCTAAAAGGTCTGGTGTGTTTTACCAAATTTTTAATACAGCATTTTGGATCGAACGCGCAGGCCTACGTGGATAATTTCAGCACTTCACACTGTGAACAGTTCCGTGTTTCCTTTGCAAATAATTATATTCTGAATATGAAAGTTGTTAAAATCCTAATTTGCTTACAATTACATCGCACTATGTTATTTGGAGCAAAGTATATCAGCACGTTGTAATTTCGAGAATTGTCTCAAATCAAGGTTCCTGATAATACGTTTTAGCAACTAAACAAACTTGAACTGAATTAAATGACTGCTCCATTTCTTGTACTCAGAAGGCACTCCTCTGCTTTCATTTTTTCTTCGTTCTTAACCTTTACAGTTTGTAAAGCCGAAAAAGGCTATCGACTACAGGCCTACTGGTACTGGTTTATGCCATTATTAAAATGTTTGACCTACCTGACTACGGTAAAGTTATAAATTCATATCCGACATTCTGTTTTCCGGCCTTAATATCTTTTACTAACCTGCACAAATGCAAATACATTGTCTGTTTATATCATTACATAACTGAGCTTGAGACTGTTTTCCTGTACATTTAACACCTGCTGCCGCATACCGAAACTTAAACACTGATGTTTGAATAGTGTCATGCAGACATTTCATTCTCACTACTGGTGTAGACTGATTTGAGCCTGTAGCGCTCCACCCTGGAATAGCCGACCAGCTTCTGCAATTTTCAAGATTGTCTTTGACCATTTAGATTAAGTTAATTGTAAATGCATGCCTACACCAGCACCTGTTTTGTAATATATCAACGTCTTAAAACCTCCTGAAACAGTATTCAAATCTTTTACCTACAAGCTGAGATAATGATTCCCTTCTACAAAGCAGATATGTGGTAAAGTCACCGTTTAAAATCTAAATAGGCCTACTTATTTATTTACTTACTTCCCTCGATTTTTTTAAATTTATTTTCGCGTTATTTCAGTTACGGCCTAAATGTCATCTTAATTCTCTTTTGTTGTCCTGATGTTTTTCTGTTATTGCTATAGTTCCCCTTAAATACTTCTGACAAAGATGAGACAAAAATAAATAAAACGCCTAAGGCGAGATTTTTTCTGTTGGACGCAATTAAGGACGTAGTACATTATTTAGAATTAACAGCTCTGTAATAATCAGGCTAAATAATAGCTTCCGGTGATACTCGTCTGCCTTTATTATAATCCACATGCAAATACATATTTGTATGTTCACACCATCATCAACAAAATCAGCATGGCTACCTCAATACAATTTTTAAAAAGTGCTTTAATTGTAATGTCCAGAGCATTAATATGTAATGTTACGCAGACACACACGCTATAAATGCATTGTGTAGTTAAAATGTGTGATTAAAATGCTTTTTATTTATAAAATAATCATACTCTTCATAATAATGAACAGCTAAGACAAGCCAAGAAGTATAGCCTGTATATTATCCAAAAATCAAAATCAATAAAATCAATAATTGCAGTGCTGTTTTTAATGACCTCAGCAAATAAAAATTAGGTTTTATTTCAATATAAGACAACAGTACTTTCTTAATTAAAAATAAAATTGCTTTGCACTTATGAAACGAAAAGCAAATGTATAGTTTTAAATCGTTAATTTATAAATATAAGATGAATATTTTCGCTATTGGATAGAAACAAAGAAAACACATTCTCATTATAATGGAAACAGACGACATATATTTCCCCTCCAAAATGCGTGTTGAATATCATAGTTTGCTTTCATTGTGGCCATTTATTTCACTGTCATTATTTAACTGTAATAAAATATGTGCAAGCAGCCAGTACATTATTCTATTCTATGTAAAATAATATTCTATCGAATATATAGATTAATGTAACTGATCATTGGTATTGTGCACGTATCTGGAATTAAACTTGATCAGTTACAACTACACTGGGCAACAAAATTAAATAGTACTACTACTGCTGTGCCACTACCACTACTATTAGACTACTACTACTACTACTACTGCTAATAATAATAATAATAATAATAATAATATATTATTATTATTATTTAAATATGTCTCCATTTTATATATATATATATATATAATTTTTTTTAACAGAATTAATACAAAAAAACATATATATATATATTCATGAAGCTTCTTAATATCGACAAAATAGTACACAAGCGACGACTGAAAGTATCAAC